GTCCATAACATGAAGCTTATCATACAAAATCTGTCTCTCGCTCTCCCTCTCTCTGTCTTACAGACACACACACACCACCACCATCAACTTTGCTAAATTACTAATGGAAAACATTGACCAGGCAGCTGCAATTGAGCAGCAGTGTTCATCCAACTCTTTTCATGGTTGTTGTAGTCGTCACAATTTTGTGAGGCCACATTGAAAAGCCTCTTATATGGAAGCGTAGTACAGAAGCGTAGAGCTGCCACCCAGGCAAAAGAAAAATAGAAAAGTATATTGTTCTAACAATATACTTTTCATGTTAGTACAATATACCTTTCACGTTTGAACAATATAATATCACGTTATTACAATATACATAATTATCACGTTCGTACAATATAACTCTTATATAGGCTACATCACAGCTCCAGTCACGGCTTCCATCACCGTCTTTCTCGTCTTTTCCCAGAATAACAGCCAAACAGGAGGATCCATTGTCTAGCATAGCCTTCACGCATTCTTATTTTAATCTTAATCTGGAATTCATTGCAAACTGTTTGTGCGGGATATGAATGACATGATTTAGTTTTTCTACAAGAGTTAGTAAAAAACATCACCATTGTGATCGAATCTTCTTGCCAAACATCTGCGGCTTGGCAGTGTATGGTAAATGGATTGATTCTTATTTAGCGCTTCTCTACTCTCTTGGAGTACTCAAAGCGCTGTATACAACATGCCACATTCACCCAATCACACCCATTCTTACAAGCACTTTATCTATACTTAGTGCTATCTAACTACATTCACACACATTCATACTCCAATGGACGCATCGGAGAGCAACTTGGGGTTAGTATCTTGCCCAAGGATATTTGGCATGCAGACTGTGGAAGCCAAGGATCGAACCACCAATCTTCCAATCAATAGCTCCTTAACCACAGCCAAAAAGGATATGGCAGTCCATTCTCCCTGAAGCACGGACTACACTGCCCATGAGGCTACATTCTTTAGGGCTATGCCTGTAACACTCTGTCTATTGCCTTCATATTAAATAATTGTTTGAATAATTTTAAAAAATATTTCTTCATATCATTATGCAACTAGGGGTGTTATGGGCCGCGAGATTGAGACCCAGACATTAGAGCCTCTTAATGAGTGTTTTGTTTGGGTTTCCACCGGCATGGAATAACCAGAAATAGAGAAGGCATAGCCTAATATATGAAACAGGAAAAGACCGCTGTGTAATCCATTTATTTCAACAAAGTAACTGTATTCTGAATACCACCCTTTTAAACGGTAACTGTAACAGAATACAGTTACTCATATTTTGTATTTTAAATACGTAACAGCGGTACATGTATTCCTTTACTCCCCAACACTGGGTACCATACCATCTTAACTAACTGGTCTACTGTAATCTTTTTACTAAAACTGCACAGAGTGGTGTCTAGACAGCAGAGCTCCTTAAGCTAATAGCTAATATTACAACAGTGCTCCACTGAGTGCTTTCAGATACTCAGCTTCCGTCTCGTACTTTAATGACTCTTATTAGTGATCCAGTCATGGTACACTGACACTGATGCTGTGCTGGAAATGTGACCAGTGATGTGGGAGTTGGTGTTAATGGTGATTGTTTTTATATTTATATAATCTGATTAATACATAATGATTATGACTCTTTTATTTTCATTCAGCTGTGTGATTTAAACTGACATTCAAATTCTAACACTTGAACTGGAGCCGTGTCTTGTCATTATCTTGCACTTTCAGTATAGTATTGTTTTTTGGCTCTGTAATAATGAAAAAATAACTTACTTTTAATCTCAGTGTATTGTGATGGTGTCAGAGGCTAAATTGTTTCTCAAATGTGTATGAATTATGTGCTGTGGAGACATATGGCTGCTTACAGTGCTGTAAGAATAAACATGCACATACACAGAGAGACACTCATTCAAACACAGTTCTGAAAAGTCTTAAACATGAAATAAGAATCGTTCTATAAAACCTAACACAAAAAAACAAAAACACAACAAAAAAGAAGTAACATGCATCTATGTTTTTTTTTTTATTAGATGCTTTAAGCAAAATTTAGGCTTTTAACAATAATAAAGCACAGTGTGGTGATACTATTTTGCTGATTTGGCCACAAATATTATTTACATTTAGAAATTTGGATACAACTTGCCAGACTGATTTAAATTTAACCACTTTAGCATGAACAAAAATGCTGAATCCCCAAAGTAGTTTAGTAACATTTTAAAAATATATATATATTGTCCACCTTATTATTAACTTAGATTTAGTGACCACATAGAATACCTAAGCTTTTTCCCGCATAGAGAAATATGTGATGCAAAAGGGGATAAGGACTGGTATTTATGCAGAGCTTTTTTTTAGTCTCCTTGAATTCCCAAAGAACTCTACAGCGCACAAACATTTTATTCTATGCAAACAGTGCTGGAATTTCCTTAGCAAGAATCACAGGAAAATCATCAGCATTTCAGCAATTTTAACCATTTATGTTAATTAGAGTCATATTTCCTTGAATTTATAGTTTGCATGAAAATGGAAAACATAGATTACATAATTAATTACACAAATCAAGAACTGAGTTCACATTTGTAGTTACCCACCAATGGGTGGCACTTGTTTTCCATCTTTCCATCATTGAGATCTCAGATAGTTCTAACTAGTAACTCAACAGCATTTTGTCACTAATCTACATAGTTACAGTTGATGAAAATGTTAATTACCTGAGTTCGCAGTTCCCTGGTTTCATGCAAGAAGCTGATTATCCCTAGCCCTCAACCTTTTTACTGAATCCCCTGCCAGCTGCAGCAGTGTCTGCAGCTGAGGATTAAAAAAACATAATGGCATTATGCTAATGTTGTGATATTGCTAGATTGACATTTCTACTGATTGGGATTAGTGCTCCTATCCATTTTCCCAGCCACACAGCAGTGGCTTAAAGTCTCTCTCTCTGCCATGAAAACATGCTTTTAACATTGTTGGTGTCAGGGGTAATTTATGGTGTTCCTCAAGTGGGCTTGTTTCAGTGCAATTAGTGTATTTTCTTTGTGTATTGAGTGCATGCCCTGAGCTGTCTGCCATCTGGAGATGTTTGAGAGAAAAAGAGGGCTTTCCTGTTTCTGGGTTCTTTTTTCTTTAATTAAGTTTTTTAACAAGGATAATCACAAGTTTGTTCAATCTGTTAAGTTGCAACAGACCATTTGAAAATTTACCATTATCCTATAATATCTTTTCAAAACATGATGCAAACATTAGTTTCTGCAACTGGATTACCATATTACTATGTCATATTTGCATTATTAACTGATTATCTGAGCTAGTAATCTTGGCTGTGTTGCATTGGGTCAGTCATCTTGTTTACATATTTAGAGAAAAACATATACATATACAAAAACATATGCATACCTATAACCTCGATCGTGGCTCAAGAGTTGGGAGTTGGCCTTTTAATCGGAAGGTTGCCGGTTCGAGCCCCGGCTTAGACAGTCTTGGTCGTTGTGTCCTTGGGCAAGATACTTCACCCGTTGCCTACTGGTGGTGGTCAGAGGGTCAACTTGCCCTCGGCTGCTGCCTACCAAAGCTGTTTAACTTTTTTGGTCAGGTCCACAGCGGCAGACTGTTTTTTTTCTTCTGAAATGAGTACAGGATCATATGTCATAGAGCTAATCGAATTGAATTGAAACATTAACTCATGCACTGTTTTTTTTTCTTTTGCTTTGTTTCTTTCTCTACAGGCACCCATAAATTTGTGACAGAGGGGGAGCACCTGATGCTCACAGCCATCACCAAAGAACAGTCGGGATCTTATGAATGCATTGCATCTAATGACATCTCAAGCCCGGATGTCAGGACAGTGCAAGTCACCGTCAACTGTAAGGGCCAGGCTATCACACTCAGGCTATATAGGACATCAAAGGGTGGGAGGGTGCAGAGTTAAACTAACACTGAGTGAGGACAGTTGAGGGCACAATTTCAATTTGAAGAAACAGTCATATGAAAACATATGACTGGTATTTTTTTGTTTTCCAGATCCTCCCTTCATTTCTAAAGCGAGGAGTACAGGCACTTCAGTTGGACAAAAAGGAATTCTGCAATGTGAAGCCTCTGCTGTCCCAAGGGCAGATTTTGAGTGGTACAAAGAAGACCGCAGGCATGTTTCTTCCCTGAGCTCTATGATTTCGACATGCTCTGAATTGTTTGACCTCAGTATTACAGGCTTACAAACACACATGTTCTGCTGTACGCTGTGGTCTTAATTCATTCGACATGATCTTTGCTGAAAGTAATGATGTTCACTCATATCACTGTTTAAAATCATGTTTTTGAGATAAGATAACTTGTGCCCTGCATTCTTCTATCAGTGGACTACATCAAAATTTAATTACACTATTAGAAAAAACAGTTAGTTAGATAATTTGCACAAAGTCATGGTTACCAAAGGAAAATTATCTGCGGTGGCTGTAGCTCAGGTGGCAGAGCAAGTCAGGCACTAATCAGAAGGTCAGTGGTTCAATCCCAGGCTGCCTCCTAGCTGCATGCCAAATATCCTTGGGCAAGATACTAAATACTAGTGATCAGAGGCCCTGGTGGCGCCAGTGTCCGGCACCCCAGGGCAGTTGTGGCTACAATGTAGCTTGTCATCACCAGTGTGTGAATGGGTGGATGACTGAATGTAGTGTAAAGCACTTTGGGGTCCTTAGGGACTAAGTAAAATGCTATACAAATGCAAGCCATTTATTTGTTTCTCTATGTCAGTAGGGTGCTGGGCTCAAATGTTTAGATAATAATCTCATATAAAGTAGCTTTTTCCAACTGATGACTTGAAACTGGAAATACATTTATGAGAAGAGTAAATACAAACAATGGCTATGGTGACTGTTAAATGGTCCCTGAAAGTGACAGCAGCATTTCCTGTCCCTATAAGATGAAATAAGTACAGGGAGTGCAGAATTATTAGGCAAGTTGTATTTTTGAGGAATAATTTTATTATTGAACAACAACCATGTTCTCAATGAACCCAAAAAACTCATTAATATCAAAGCTGAATGTTTTTGGAAGTAGTTTTTAGTTTGTTTTTAGTTTTAGCTATTTTAGGGGGATATCTGTGTGTGCAGGTGACTATTACTGTGCATAATTATTAGGCAACTTAACAAAAAACAAATATATACCCATTTCAATTATTTATTTTTACCAGTGAAACCAATATAACATCTCCACATTCACAAATATACATTTCTGACATTCAAAAACAAAACAAAAACAAATCAGCGACCAATATAGCCACCTTTCTTTGCAAGGACACTCAAAAGCCTGCCATCCATGGATTCTGTCAGTGTTTTGATCTGTTCACCATCAACATTGGTGCAGCAGCAACCACAGCCTCCCAGACACTGTTCAGAGAGGTGTACTGTTTTCCCTCCTTGTAAATCTCACATTTGATGATGGACCACAGGTTCTCAATGGGGTTCAGATCAGGTGAACAAGGAGGCCATGTCATTAGTTTTTCTTCTTTTATACCCTTTCTTGCCAGCCATGCTGTGGAGTACTTGGACGCGTGTGATGGAGCATTGTCCTGCATGAAAATCATGTTTTTCTTGAAGGATGCAGACTTCTTCCTGTACCACTGCTTGAAGAAGGTGTCTTCCAGAAACTGGCAGTAGGACTGGGAGTTGAGCTTGACTCCATCCTCAACCCGAAAAGGCCCCACAAGCTCATCTTTGATGATACCAGCCCAAACCAGTACTCCACCTCCACCTTGCTGGCGTCTGAGTCGGACTGGAGCTCTCTGCCCTTTACCAATCCAGCCACGGGCCCATCCATCTGGCCCATCAAGACTCACTCTCATTTCATCAGTCCATAAAACCTTAGAAAAACCAGTCTTGAGATATTTCTTGGCCCAGTCTTGACGTTTCAGCTTGTGTGTCTTGTTCAGTGGTGGTCGTCTTTCAGCCTTTCTTACCTTGGCCATGTCTCTGAGTATTGCACACCTTGTGCTTTTGGGCACTCCAGTGATGTTGCAGCTCTGAAATATGGCCAAACTGGTGGCAAGTGGCATCTTGGCAGCTGCACGCTTGACTTTTCTCAGTTCATGGGCAGTTATTTTGCGCCTTGGTTTTTCCACACGCTTCTTGCGACCCTGTTGACTATTTTGAATGAAACGCTTGATTGTTCGATGATCACGCTTCAGAAGCTTTGCAATTTTGAGACTGCTGCATCCCTCTGCAAGATATCTCACTATTTTTGACTTTTCTGAGCCTGTCAAGTCCTTCTTTTGACCCATTTTGCCAAAGGAAAGGAAGTTGCCTAATAATTATGCACACCTGATATAGGGTGTTGATGTCATTAGACCACACCCCTTCTCATTACAGAGATGCACATCACCTAATATGCTTAATTGGTAGTAGGCTTTCGAGCCTATACAGCTTGGAGTAAGACAACATGCATGAAGAGGGTGATGTGGACAAAATACTCATTTGCCTAATAATTCTGCACTCCCTGTAGTGATAGAGAGGAGTGATAAAATAAATGTAAAAAAACAGCGAAACTGTAGAAAAGAAACAGGAAATGAAATGTGGAAAATGGAAGGCGGGCTTTTAAACAAATACATCCTGTCACGGCTGCAGCGGCAGATGTGTGAAGTTATAAGAGATGGACCCAAGTGCAGGCACTGGCATTACTGTGAGTGAGCTTTATTTTCAAACGGTGATAATATAAACAGAAGCAGACATGGCAAAGAAAGAAAATAAGAAAGACCTAAACCAGGAAAACTAACTAAATAAACCTGAAACCATGAAACGTTGTTAGAACATGGGGGATGACACACAGAATGATACACAGACGGACGACAACGAGCAAAGGTGAGCACACACTATGGCTGTATCCCAATTCAGGGTCTGCAGCCCTGGAGGACGCAGCCTTCGCTGTCTACTTGGGCTGCGTCCTTGAAGGCCGAGAAGGCCGGAAATATGAGGCTTGTGAAATCGAAAGGTCTATCCTCTGTCATGATACCCGCTGCAAACATTTCATACAGCATTGTTTCACAGAAATGAAGAAAAGAAATAGAGAGTTCATTTGTTTGTTTGTTTTTACATGACGTTTGTTTGATTTGAATATTTGAGGCTGAGACCACGGAACTGTAACAATATGAATGTTGTGCTTCTTTTCGGTACTGACCAGCAATGTTCCTTCTAAGCTGCACGCGTGCGCAATTGCGCACTGCTGGCACGGTCTCTGCGCACAGAAAATCTGCGTTGCGCACATAAAAAACCATCAAACCTGAATTGAATTTAAAATGAAAACTTTAACAATTCTGTTTTGCAGTGCTAGTCAGTAAGTGACTGGCTGCTCCCGTATGGGATTAGAACGATGCCACCTTATCCCATAGTCCAGCCAATAATGCGATTCACATTCGTATATACGCAGCTAATCAATGTCAATGACAGGCTATGACAGCGTCCGTATGTGCCGACACCGGTGTTTTAGCTAGCAAAGCGGCGTGGCTGATGTGGAGTGAAGCCACATTAATGACAACATGTACAATTATTGGAGATTTGAGCAGGACAGACGGAACAATTGACAGAAAAAGTGTGGACTTTATACCAGTTTTTAAATTGTGTTGATAGGCCACGTAAAATCTGAGTTATGATAAAAATATATGCAATGCAATTTTCTTCCTGAATACTATCGTTGTTTATATTTACTGCGGGAAGAAACGGTAAAAACTGTGTTTTATCAGGAAAATGCTCAAAAGCACTCTCCGCCTGTGAGCAAAAACAACACCAAAAAAACCCCACCCTTTCCTATTGGTCGAAAAATGTACCATGACACTGTACACTGACATAGGACATGGACTTTCAAAGTAAAACAGGAAACACACAACAGACCTGAAACGTGGGACAGAAAGGCACAGAATAGAGGCTGTATCTCAATTCAGGGTCTGCAGCCTTAAAGTACGCAGCCTTAACGGTCCTCAAGGTTCACGTACTCAAAGACCGCTAAGGCCGGAAGTGCGAGGCTTGTGAAATGGACGGTCTAGCCTCCGTCGCGCTGCCCAGGTTGCCTAGCAACCATGATACTAACAGCTGGAAACGTTTCATACAGCTTTGTTTGACAGAAATGAAGGAGAAAATCTTTTGTTCATTTGTTTGTTTGTTTCTACATGAGCTTTGATCATTCTCTGTAAGATTAAGGTCAGCTATTGAACGGCGTATATTTTAAAGTAAAGGCTTTAAAACCAAGTTAGTACAAACGTCACTAATGTCACATAACTTTGCCGACATGTGGCCAACAGTAATGTTTTAATGTTCTTCGTTATTAAACATTTGCACATAAATAAGTGACATAATATTCAGTACTTACTTAAAGTTTACTCTTCGGGCGCCCCTCATCCGCCGTTTTTTTTCGGCAAAATTATCCACACCCACCGCCGCGCTATGCATTCTGGGATATGTTGGGCCACGAAGTCTACACCGCCACATCCTTAAAATTCAGGGAAATGAAGGACGCATTTGAGGGCCGCATTTCGAGCAGCCTTCGAATTGGGACAGCCTTCGTCGCGTCGCTGTGACGTAATCGGCCTTAAAATGCGGCCTTTAAGGCTGCAGACCCTGAATTGGGATACAGCCTAGACATAACACGGAACACAGGGGAGGCACATAAACAAAACCTAATGTGGCTAGTAATCATGGTATACTAATGAACTAGGGTGCCAGAAATACTGAAAACCAAAATCAAGAGACTAGTAGTAAAAATATGATGAAATCAAAGATCAAACAATAGTACAAACTCAAAACAGACCGTGGCACATCCACAGTTACTGCAGTAGCTGCAGGTATTCAGGAGAGCATGAGAACAGGAACATTCAGAGCGTTTTGCTTTGTATCTAAAAAACATTTCCCTAAGTTTTAATCAAGCATATTTTATGAGTGCATTTGCAAAAGTTACAAATAAACACATTCTCTCAGAGATTTCAAAACTGCTTTTCTCTTTCTTATAGGCTCCTCAATGGACTAAACGGGGTAAAGATAGAGAATCAAGGGAAACAGTCTATGCTTATCTTTTTCAATGTCTCAGAAGAAGACTATGGGAACTACACTTGTGTTGCTATGAACACCATGGGAATCACTAATGCCAGTATAATACTCTATGGTAAGAAAAATATGTTTCTGTTATGTTGTTCACTTCAGTGAATTAAAGAAAAAAGAAAAAAGTTTTGTTTTTGTCAGCGACCACTTTTTCCATATTAGCAGCTACACATAAAAAAGCCATTCTGAAAGTCACCCACTGTATGTTATTCATTGAATTACCTTTTATTTCCACCGATTGCCAGTTTCCATGGTAATTCCAGCACCAAACCGCATGAACATTTAACTTCTAACTAATGATAGTCAATACTAGAGCACTGATCTGAATAACCCTTATGATGAATCACATTTTGCATTATTCTCTTGCAGGTCCTGGTGCAATGCATGACGTGAACGGGGCTGCTGCGCTATCACATTGCTTTGTATGCCTCCTGCTTACTGTAACCTCAGTCTACCTTCTCAAGTTCTAATGTGAAATGCTACCACCTTGGAGCTTCTCTCAGAATTGAAAACCAAGAACAGACTTTTAGTCCAGTAAGAAGAATGGAAACCCAAGATTGCCAGTGGTCCACCCTATTTTTTTTTTCTTTTTCTCTGTTGTTTTTCTTTCCTTTTTCTGGCTTTGCATCAGAGTCTGTTCTCTGTTGGCTTGTCAAGAGTGAGAAGCATCAACCTGCAGAAGCAAAGATTTTAAATAATGCACTAATTTGATGATGGTAGAACTTCTGAGTTCGTGTCTCCCCCAACCTTTTTATATGTGAACATGGAAAAAAAATACATGTAACTGTTGATAGTTGACTGTTTATTGCCCAATTCTGAAGTGTACATTCAGATTATTATTATTATTATTATTATCGTGTCATGTCCTGTTCAATATCTGTACAATAACATTAAGCTTTTTTAGGTAAATGATAAAAAGGGAAAAATGCAATGTGATTGTTGAATTTTACTGTATTTTTACAGTTGTATGCAAAACAGAATAACTGATACTTCATTATAAACAGTTCAGAACAATAAATTATACACCATGATTTCTCAGGCAAAGTCCTACACATAGTGCATCCAAATTTATATTTTCATTGTAGTGTGTGTAAAAATTGTACAAATGTGTACAGACAATACCTGCACTGTTGTTTATCAAAATGCATATGCTTATCCAATGGCATTTTTGAACTACCCAATAAGAGTGCCATAGCAGCTTCATGACATATTCATACTAACACACTGAAAGCTGATTTTCAGACTCACTTTAGTGAAGTATGATTTAGGAGTGAGAAATTGGTTGTTGTGCTGCTTTGTTCTCTGCAGACAGAAACAGAAAAACCCAGAGTTCAGTGTGCTGATGGCATCATTAGAGTGTCCAACCTGATTCACAAAGTGCTGTGGCTAATTTGAAAAGCTGCACTCGTTACATGATATTAACCCACCTTCCACACTGGTTTTATGATCATTATTATTTAATTTTCTAAAGTTATGGTTAAAATACGGTGGCCCTGAGTGGCCAAACGAACTGCAACTTCAGAAAACACTTGCAAAAAGAAAAATGCTGCAAAAACAAAAACACCTGCAAAAAGAAAAACACTTGCAAAAACAAAAACGCTGCAAAAACAAAAACGCTGCAAAAGCACACACAACACAATGGAAATGTTTCTGGGGAGACAATAACCGGTACGCAGCCTTAACGGTCCTCAAGGGCCGCGTACTCAAAGATTGCTGAGGCCAGAAGTGCGAGGCTTGTAGGCTCGTGAAATGGGACAGTCTAGCCTCCGTCGCACTGCCCAGGTTGCCTAGCAACCATGATACTAACAGCTGGAAATGTTTCATACAGCTTTGTTTGACAGAAATGAAGGAGAACATATTTTGTACATTTGTTTCTACATGAGCTTTGTGTGATTTGATAAGTATCTGAGGCTGAGACCACAGGACTGTAAAACATGATTTTTGGGCTTCATTTCTGTACTGAACAGTCATTTAAGATTAGCTAGTAAATAACAATTAGCTAATGTTGTTCATGAGACTAAAGTCATCTCACTTTGGTAATGTAAATATAATATGGCCAATATTATATTAATCGTTATTAGTTATTACAGCAGTGAACATGAACTCTGTGCCAAACACTGAGCTTCAGTAAAGATTCAAGTTGCATTTATTTATATTTCCTGTCACCTTAAATCTTCACTTAAAGACAAGTATCTTTGACAGTGTATCTATAGATGTATTATATATAAGAGACAAATATTGTTCTTTTAATATGTTAGCATTACTAAATTTGGCTCAATGCTTATATATGTGTAGAAAAAGCAAATGTACGAGCTGTGATAACTGTTTCTGATAGAATGAAGGGTAGGCTGATATATTAAATATTTCTTTATTGGGTGAGAAAATCAGACCATGTCATAACTGCTTTAAGTCATACAGAATAGATAACAGCGCCTTAAACAGGCTGAATATGATGTAACACTATAGATCAACTTAGAATATATAAAGCATATAAACAATTACAGCAATATGATGCAACAAACACAGCAGTACTACTAATCCAAAATACTCAAAGCTTCATAGAACTGAAACAAACATTTATTTTTAGCTCCATTCTGCTGCTGATACATACTTTAGGTTTCTGAACATTAAACTTGTTGCTGCCTTTCATAGTGTGTAACTTGAAGGCCCTGAGTACTTTCTCCCACACTGAAAACACTGGAATGATAAAATTATTTGAAAATTACCGAATAAGACTGATTCAGGACAGACAATTAGTTATAACTTTCCTAGCAGTCCTTCACAAACAGGGAACAGTCTGTCTATTTTCTCCATCTGTCAGCTGCTGCTGGATCTTCCTCCTCCTCTTCCTCACACACTGCTGAGTTTGTCCTGGTGGATCATCAGGGGTGCAAAGCCTCACAGATGATGTGCAGCAGTGGGTTCCTCAGTCTGTCCTCACCCTGGACACTTGCAGTTGTCACACATGGAAATCAAATGTGTGATAAGCTGCAGTAGTCAAACACAAGTGTAACTTATAAATACATGTTCATACTTTTATTCCACAATCAGAGAGAAAGAAAAAGAGAGAGAGTGCAGGACAGACAGACAGGTGACAGTCTCAGGTGTACACACTGCTACAAAACAGCACAAGAGAAGGAGGATTTAGTGTTTGTGTTATTACGAGTGCTAAACAAGAAGAGTTCCCAGATGGTACGTGGACACGTGTGACTCCTGTGATTAAAGCATCTTTCTTTCAGCATAACGAGTGAACCGTCAGCTCGTTCAAACACACATTAAAGTCCGTGCCGTGATATTCAGGACTGCAAACTGAGCAGCATTCACTGACTTTCAGCTTGTTGTGTTTGTGGATATATGACTGACTTTAATTATCCACAAAATCATCAGATTCTCTGTAAGATTAAGGTCAAGTATCGAACGGCGTATAAAGTAAAAGCTTTAAAACAAAGTAAACGCTGAAAGAACAAACATCGCTAAAGTCACATAACTTTGCCGGCATGTGGCCACAAGTAATGTTTTAATGTTTTTCGTTATTAAACATTTGCACATAAATAAATGACATAATATTCAGAACTTACTTTTGAAAGTTTACTCTTTGGCCGCTCCGCTTCCATTTCTTTGAAGTGTCTCCCAGTCCCAGTGCACTTGTTAGCATGTTTTGGTTCGTGCAACTGGTCCGTCCGGTTATTGTCTCCCCAGAAACATTTCCGTTGTGTTGTGTGTGCTTTTGCAGCGTTTTTCTTTTTGCAGCGTTTTCCTTTTTGCAGCATTTTTCTTTTTGCAAGTGTTCTCTGAAGTTGCAGTCCGTTTGGCCTCTCAGGGCCACCATATTAAAAGCTTCAGATTATATAAAATAATTTAATAGTAAGATATTTAAAAGATGCAGGTAGCCATTATACCATTTTAGTCCCCCTTATTTTTTTTAGTCGCAAGAATCAAATAAAAATGTCACTGAGACCTTTTGTTTTCTCACTACACCAACAAGAGGTTCAATCTGGCTTCCGATTCAAAATAATACTCTACAAAAAATATGTATTTAAGAGCCATTTTAAATAATTAAACCGCCTTTTAAATGCTTCTGCAATGTTTGTCACTTTTAGCTATGCATAATATAATCACATTCAGAAAAACAAGATAGTGAGTGTGAGAAAACATTGGCAGTGTTAGCACTAGCAGCATTCGTTGTAGTGCTGCTAGTGCTAGCAAATATTGTATTACATGTCTTTACTGACAGGGTAATAACTTTTTATATCAGACCTGGCTGGCTCTTGCACGGTTCTTGGGCTGCTTATTCAGTCCATTGGTTGTCTCTGACCTCCCCACATGAGGCTAATACAAAATTAGCATTCAAACGTAAAGAAGGATACATCATGCTTTTGTGAATTTTGTGGGAAATCACAAAGCTGGACTTTACTGCACTATCCAGCTTGGTAAAAATTGTTTTTGCTTTTGCAGCTTTGCTAGAAAGGTTTCCAGTGTCTATCCCTGCTCTGCATCGGTACAGCTTTGCTGTAAATCCACTCTACATAGAATGTAGCTTTTTAACAAAACATGTACAGAAAGTATTTATTTGAATTCAGGAATACAACAACATGACTGATGCAACACAGGAATGGACACTGCTGTGAAAGCAGCAAGTTTCAGAGGGATGGAGCAGTCAAGGCCAGGTTTGTCATCTTCCACAAAATCGCAAAATACATAAAATCATTCTCTGATGGGGAGTTTATCATAGTGTTTGCTGATATGCCCTGAGAAAAATTAAGGATTTGTGAATGTGCCCCTCTCCAAGTGAATCCCAAAAGATAGATTAACCACATTATAGCAAAATCAGGATCTTCATTTGAAAAACAAAGCAGATATTGGACAAGACTCTGGCCAACAACTGTGATGTCTACAAGACAACCAAGTTCCTCTTCTTTATACACAGAATAACAAAACTGTGTCAGATTGCAGAGCAGCTGGCAGCAATGCTGCTGCTGAAAACTGATGGCCGTCCAAATCTGACAGGAAGAAATGACTTTTGACAATGGACTGACATGAACCCAGAACTGAAACTGGTATTTGTGCACTGTATCATTCACCAAGAGGTGTTGTGCAAGTCAATGCTAAAAAATTAACCATGTTGTTGATGTAACTAAAATAGTTAACTTCATCAGGGTGAAAAGCAATGAATCACGGACTTTAAGTCAGTATCACTGCTGTTTTTTTATTCTGCTCACAAAAACGAGAACTTTCCACACATACAAAGATATTCTCACATAATGCTGGTTTTCTTTTGCATGTGAACAAACATTATTTGTGATAAAGTTTAACAAAACTAGACATGGATAATCTCTGTCTGCTATCCTTTGCATTTCCATCTCATTTCAAAGCTGACACCAGTGCACCCGTTAAAGCCAATAATAAACTAAATTTGTCTCATAAAACAAGAAAAAAGACCTAAATAACTGCAAAAAACAACAACAAACAAATTAGCAACAGTACCTTGTTAAAAAATGCACATTTTGTTCCAAATTGCTTTTGGTAATGTTGAATAGTTTTACATTTGGGTTCAGTTCATTGGTGCGCAGCCCATCACAGCAGTCATAAATTCTCATGTGGCTGGTTGGGAAAATGAATTGTCCTCCCCTGTTCTATATCAAAGTTACATACATACAGTGTTATTTAGATATTTACATTACACTGTTTCTCATATTTATTGTGAAATATTGAAAAGCTGGATAAAATTCTTTTTAAAAATTGAAAGAACTTTTTTGTGCTTATCAGCCCACTGATCATGTAACACAAAAAGTCAGCTTGAATGAATGGTCTGTGTAGCTGCTATGAAGCTTTCTTCAGGTGTTGTGAATGTGTGCTTTTAACCTGGTTTGCCCTGAGATTAATGGCAGATGCTGATCTCAAGACTGCAGGAGTAATGATGTGATCTGTGGTTGGTGTATAAAAAGAGTTTTCTGTCAATTTCTGACAGAAAGTATACTTAGAGCACAAGTGACTGCTAATGTGACTTTTGTTTTTTAATGATCAAGTTCACTCCTGTGATAACCTATGAGTAACAAATGTGTTGATGACAAAGGGAAGAGATTCTGTATGTGGGAATGCTCTTTTTTGTCACGTTCTGTGCTTGTGATGATGGTGAAACAGTCAGCTCTCACATGATGTGATTTTCCCTTTTTAGGGGTTTGCAAAAAAAACCAAAACAAAACAACGACAAAAAAAAAAAAAAAAAAACACGGACAAGTGAGATACAGATGCCTGCAAAATTACAGTTTAGGGGTTGCTGTCATAATTTCTAACCTAGTTAGAACATGACCATGATAAATATTGATGTCAGTAAGCTTGAACCAGTTTGTTTAAAATCGTTATTAAAAGATAACTAAAACAGGAGTCTACTTAAGATGTATTTTTGCATGACACAATGAAAACAGCACAGATTTGTTTTGTTTGTGCACCACATTATCAATACACTTACAGAAACAGCCACTTAAAACGGCCACCTGATCAGTGACAGCACTTTGATGGATCTATAGTGGAATCCTGACCGATTGCCGGCTGATGGGTGGCCGTAATGATATCCCCCATCTGTGACTTGGATGGTGCAACCCTGAGCCGTAAGCGACATCTATGAAAAACAGTGGTAATGTCTTGAGTATCCACCAGGGGTAGCAGTGTGGAGGTGCATTCATTTACAGACTTGCTACACCATATATTTAAAACCTCTTCAGTTTGTTCAGGAATTCAGCCTTTCTGTCAAAGATTTATAGAGACATATGTTTGCAGCAAATAAAATACAGGTTGTGCACGCCAGACAAGCCAGACATATTGATTGATTGATTGACTGGTAATTTATTTTAACATGTGAACAATATACAAGTACATTTAGAAAAGAAAATAGTACATTTAGAATGGAAAATATAAGATATATATATATAAAGTGATGCTTGCATTCTATGATTATTACTAACTTGTGTTTCTGCCAGATATATCTGGCACTTTGTTCTAAATATTTCTGATGATGAACCACAACGCTCTGGGACCATGCTTAAAACTATTGGTAATTCTTACCATTTACAAATAAATTAACAGTTATAGCGGTAACGGTCACAGTCATGCCTGCTTACTCAAGTTGTCTGCCGCTAATCTTAATATATCATGTTTGCAAATAATTAAATACTGTGGTTCAAAAACTTTACTCTGGGGAAGGGACATTCTAAATCCAACATCTGGTACATGTCCCGTAAATCAGTGTCCAATCTGCAGTATTTATTTATTTAGTTATAGGTGAAAACACTCCACATGCTTACAGGTAGGAGAGAATTAACAGTTTTTAGTGTTGAACCTGGTCTTAATGTATTCCAGGAATAACTACCAGTTGTTCAGTATTTACGGAACAATTTTCTTAAAAGTATTCTATAACAGTTTTCCCAAACGTAATGACACAATTACCTTACGAACCTAGCAGGGCCTGTCCTGAAACTCCCCTGGTGTAGGTGTGCTCTTTCTCTCCTCTTTCAACCCGGACACTTTTCGTTACTTTCTCTCCCCTGGACCTCTTTAGGGGACCATATCAAGTTAAAATGAGAGATTTTTGCTTTTCGTCTTAGTGCTTGTTGTTCAGCATCCGTGCATATCGTCACCTTTTAAAATATAGAGAAATTATGGGTCACTCAAGACAATATAAAACACACACAATATAAAACTTTAAAGAAATCTAAGAAACAAAAAATCTAAGTATTAAGTTGGAACCTAACAGAAAAAAACAAAGGACAAGCTTATAATTCACACATAAGTACAACTCAGTAAACAATAGGCTAGGTGGAAAAATACTAGCTGACAGCTGGCTGACCTCTGGCTGAAAGCAGCAATTTTGAGTGGCTGTATCTGTACTTAGTGCATAATTCTCTGAGCAATTTAAGGTTGCAGTTTAAAAATTGTCATTATTTACTACGTTTTTCACATTATACGATCACATTGATGATTGTATTGTTTACCTAGTTGATGATTTTCTGATCTTACTGGAGGTTGAGCATACAGTTCTTACTGTTGTGGTATATATTTATCATATCATTTCATTGAGAGATTGCACAATTGTTCATAAACAGGTTAAATGAGAATTCCAAGGTACCAATCATTTGTTCTGACTTTTATGCTATGCACTACTGTCATTTGTTTATTGTTTGTCTTTTCTGGAGACTGAATATTGGTATTTGCCAAAATCCATATGGTTGTGTGCCAGTTTCAGATATTTACAAGTTGCCTTATTTGTTGCATAATATAAATTTTGTGCAGAAGTATCTGAAATTGCCCTAATATGAGTGTGTAGATAACTGATACTAGGTACTTTGTGTGTATGTAGCTTGTAGTGTTAAAGTACTTTGGGAAGATCTCTTTTTCTCTTTTGGGGGGATTACTGGTCATTTATGCAAAAACTTTCTTTTAAGCATAGTAAGCATTTCAATATTTTTAGGTACTTTTCTCTAGAGTTGAGTTGAGTTTTCTCTAGGTGAAGCCCAAGACAAAGTTAAAAGGTTACTGATATGTAAATAGCTAATATGCGTACAAATTTAATGTTCACCAGTATTGACCAAAGGTAGCTCCTGTTACACAGGCCAGTCTTGCAAGGCTCATTCTTTTAAAATCACTGTAGGTGACAACGGAAAGATGTAGTGTATTTCTTTTCTATCCAAAATTCTATCCAAAGGGGATAAAACTCCAGTAACTGGAGGAAGTGAACTACACACATTTTGGCTGGTAGACAACCTGCACTACAACCTGACCCACAGCCACCTCATTTATCTCCTACTGTTGTTATATTCATCCTGCTACACTGGAAGACTGACTAGAAGATCTTCTGAAATAGTGGATAAAGGTTTCCAGATCACCAAAGAGCAAGTTTTATATTCAGTTTTGACACACCTTAGTTCATGACTTTCTCAAATTTTAAAAAGAATGACTAAAGAAGATGAAAGAGTGACTGTGCAACTTTTTTGTCTTGAGGGGGGGCTATCTATCTTTATGGGATTTTAATGGGGGGAAGTGATCTGCATTATCGTGACTTGCTGTACCTGACTAGAACTGATGTTGCAGATAGGAAATAACAATTCTTGGCCGAGCTTAAAAATTTTAACAGGCAAGGTAATGGGGGGTTAACTATTTGTGTTACTGGTGTGTGTTTTAAAGACACACCAGTATGAAGAGCCTGCCGGTGGCCTCCCAGTATGATAAAGACCAGCACTACACCAATTACAACAGTATAACTTTATTATCTGAAAAGAATCAACCCTGTTTTGCCTTCTTTGTCTTATAATTAGACCCAAGTCAGGGAAGAAGAGATGGAGGTTTTATGGATACCCCTCATATTCAGTCCGTTAAAAAATACATCACTTAGCTTTGGGTTGAATATAGGTTTTATAAATATTCTCGTCAGGGCAGATTATCTCATTTAATACAAAAATACTAATACCGAACAACTATGATATTTCAGACAGAGACTCATTCTCATATTTCCCTTTTCTGAATCATCTGAATACATTTCTTTTAGGATTTCATAACCAGGTGCTCTCTAACCTCCATGATTAAACACACACACATAACTTTCTAATGTTTAGCATTAGGACATCTCAAAGTGATCTTGATCTCAACTACACCTTTTGCAAAAATAAAAATTGTCTTTAGAGGCTACCTTTGATACCCTCCAAATCCACATTCACTCTTTACATTTTATTTATTAATGATTTTTATGATTTATGTTTCAGGAACTCTACACCATAACTACATATGTGTTTGCCACAACTGACCAGAACAAAGAATGGAGACCCAATACGGAAAAAGTTCCATTGTTTTATCTGTTTCTTCATTCAAAAAAATGAATGAGGTAAATTGTTCAGTTTTATAATTATTATTTATCTTCAGCCTAAAAGATATTTTTTCCAATAAAGTCTACTTGATTGTGTCTGGTATTATCTGTACAGAATACTAATGTGTTACTTAGTTCTGTCACTTAATCTTTAAGTTAACATTAGGATAACATTTAGGATTGGCATACTTCTTAAATCCACAAGGTGACAGTAATGCAACAACAGTTGTCATAAAAACCTCAAGAGAAAAAAGGTTAAAATGATTCATAATACATATGCTCAAACCTTCAACCTTTATGGTTTGCCGAAACCTGCTGATCTTCATATTTTTGAGTTACGTAAGAGATTTTTCTTTTTTTGTGATTGTTTTTTGTAATATCTTCATATTGAGCATAGTTGTATTTTGTGATTGTGGAATATGACATTTGTATATTTTTCACACACAATAGTGGATTTTGGACAAATCAGACATGTCTGCTTTTGTCAAAGGGAACATGTTACTGCATTACATGTTACTACAACAAATCCATTTATATACAATTTTCTGCGTAGTCTAAAGGGAGATTGCATTTCTATTTTGTGTTCCCCTTCTCACTGATCTTTGTCTGCAGATCCAGAGCCCCTTAAGATACTTCCTATACAAACCCAGGATTGTAAAGCAAGCATCCAGGAAATGTTGGGTGTTTGGTAAAAGAAGCTGCATAAAACCAGATACTTTGGGCTGTTCTGTTAGTGTAAGTGTAACTACATATTCTTACAGAACACAGTGGTACATACTGTAGTAATACAGATGCGGCAGTCCAATATGGCAGTCAACCAAACCGGTTTGACAACCTGTTTAACAGGTTTCGTGCGTGTATGCATGCGCGTTCAGGTGTGCTCGGGGTGATATGTGTTTATGTGTTTTTAACTGTGTTTTAATTTCATCAAACCATGGGGTTTAATAATGGCGGGTCTCAACATTCAGTTATGCAGACATATGTGTTCTTAAAAGCAATTCTTTGTTTTGTGTGGCGGAGTGGAAGCCGTTTTGTTTCACAGTGCACCTTAACAAACCTGGAATGGGTACTTGCTTTTTATTTGCATCTAGTCAAAAGTGTTACTAATTGTGTTTTAATCACACTAATTTTTTGATTCTGAAAATGTCTCAGCATGCAGTGATGCATGCATTTTATTTAAAAACAAAACGCCACAAATGGGAATTTCTTCTGTATGGGAAATTTCAGCCTTCGGGACTGTTCACAAGTATTTCTTTTAATCAAACCACTAGTTTTAATTTAACTAGTTTTTACGTATCTACTGGGGTTTCTTTCACGGGGTGATGCGATCATTTTATTTAAAAATCGGGATTTCAGAATGTTGAACCAAGAGGGAGACAGAGCCAGCTAGTTTTTTAACACAGTAGATGGTCGCAAATAACATTCAGCCCCTTTGGAAAATAAACGCTTTTGTGGTAGCTCTAAAACACATTGCACAGGATCAGCAAGTATCACTCTTTCAAACTAATTGTGTTTTAATCACACTAATTTTGTCATTCTGATGTCTCAACATGTGGCGATGCAAGCATTATATTTAAAAAACAGATCAAATGGGTATTTCTTTTGTACGGGTATCAAAATCTACCAGCTTTAATACAATAGGTGGTCACAAATAACATTCAGCCCCTTTAGAAAATAAACGCTATTGTGGTAGTTCTAAAACACGTTGCACAGGATCTTGTCTTTTGCCCGAAGCAGCCAATATTGCTCTTTCAAACTAATTGTGTCTTAATCACACTAATTTTGTGGTTCTGACTATGTCTCAGCATGCAGTGGCACAAACATTTTATTTTAAAAACAACACAAATGGGTACTTCTTCTGTGCGGGTTTCAGAGTATACTAGTTTTTAACGCAATAGGTGATCACAAATAACATTCACCCTCTGTCTTTCAACAGCTAATTGTTTGAAATTGTTCAGGAATGCAAAAGCCCTCCGGGGGTATCATTTAATTGTTGTGATTCCTTAGGATGGCCAGTTACACCGGTGCTCAGCAACTGCGTGCCCCACCCCAGCATAGTTCAAGCACCCTCATTGTTTTAAACTTGCACAGCAAGGTGATGCCCTGCAGGTGTATCGACCCCAGATTCATCGAAACTCTCTGTTGTTTTGGAAGCACTAGGTCCTATATAAAGCTTTCCTCAGAGCCTGAAACCCTTCGCCATTTTCGCCTCAGGAACCTGCCGCGGAGCAGACCATTTTCTTTATAACATGGACAGCGTAAACGGTAAGTAAAACAAGGCTATTATTATTGTATTTTTAAATAGGATATCATTGGATATTATAGGATATTCAAACTATTTTCTTTTTCAGACACTGATCTGAAATATAAAAGCGTGTTAGAAGCAGCTTTTGCTGGATTTGTTCAAGGGAGGGTTATACAGAATTTTAAGTTGTTCTCTTGTGTGATTGCACAGGGTCCCATCACAGGCCCTCATATTAAACTGTACAGCAGAAGTTTCAATTCACTTTTATCTATACACACACACCAAATTACAACAACAGTCACCTGCTAGTGAGACTGTTAGTCACACAGATGGTGGACAGAAAGTAATTTTGAATTTAGAAAAATAAAATGACTCAACTAACATTTACTGCTGTATTTATTATTATTACCCCTTTTTCTGTGCTCCTACATCTATGACAATGTATGTGTGACAGGTGAGACCTGAGTCTGGGAACCGCCCCTGGTGGGCGGAGCTGGTCTTTGCTCCTTTCATAAGCTCAGGTGTGGGCAATTAGGTATTCCTCAGCAAACCTGAAGCTGCCAGTGCTTGGTCCAAGTTGGGCAAGTTGGTGTTTTTAATTTCTTTCCGTGAAAGCTTGATGCGGGTCCCCCTCAAGTTCTGTCAGAACGGTAGGTTACACAACAATGTGCCACTTAAGCTCTGGTTGTTGTGGCCGAGGTTTACAGTTATTTGCACCCTTGTAGGTGGGAAACATTGCGTTCCGTGAGAACAGTGTAGTGGACTTCACCGCCACTGACCCACATTTATTAGGGTGTGATGTGAACTTGTGGACAGGTAATGAAAACAATACAGATGAGGAATATTCCTGTGTTTTACTGTCCAGCGTAAGTCATCTCCTGCCTTTTATTTACAGAGTACCGAGCTGCTGCTTTGCCAAGTGGATTTCTGGCTGCGGGCAAAGGACCCGACACATCAGAGTGTTTTACTTTGTTTTATACTGGTGTAAGTCGACAGACTGTGACTGCTGCGGCTGTAGATTTTGTTTGTTTCTTGTTTTATTTTTCTGTGTCAGTAGGCACCACAGAGATTGGCTCTTTTAGTATTTTAACCCCTTTTTTAATACATATATTGTCGCAGACGGTGAAGGTGCTGCAGGGAAAACTTTTTTTTTTTTTTTTAAAAACTGTTCCCCGCAGCGCTTGTCCTGTCTCACGGGCAATCATACAGTTTTATCGTTCTTAATAAGGTAAAGTTCTTAATTGTTTTTAAGGTGCACTGTTATACTGTTTCTTTTATTTTGTATTAAAAATGAAACTGTGTGTGTGTGTGTGTGTGTGTGTGTGTGTGTGCGCGCTTCAGAGCACCTACACTAGCGCATGTACAATCAGTAAGTGTACATTCACATTTGTGATTCCAAAACAGGTCTTACATAGTTGATGTGAAATATTTCATGCACTTTTGTTTTTTTTGTATTATGCATTAAAGTTATGCAAGGCAATTGTAATGTATTTAAACCAATCCAGGGGGAAGTATCTCCTTTTTAGCTTCAGTGACACATATACTTCACACCCCTTAAACTAGATGTTAATGTTCTCAAAGTTAACACGGCTCATGTTACCATGACACTGCTAAAACACAGCTTCGCCGGATTCCCTATAGACTCTCAGATGGAAACACCAACAATCTAGATATTTACAGATATACGTCAAGCCATCTTTAATGTCTTAAGTTTTGTTGTTTTTATGTTTTACTAAATACTAATTATTCTGGGATATTTATTGCCAAACTACGCAATCTTCCAAATCTGTGTGGAGTACAAAGTTGTAACCAAGAATCAATATCAGAAAAAGTCTGTTTACGTGGCTTTTATGAAACTGATTTTCAATAGTACAGCCAACGTCTAACTTTTCTTTGGCTCTCCAGTATAAATGCATGTTTTTGCATGCTTTATTGAAACTGTCACACAATTTAACATTCAATGCATGTTTCTATGGACACTGTTTCATACATCAACTGCTCTGAAAATCACTTTTAAAGTAATGTAGAACATAATCTGACAATCACCTCTAAACAAGGGGGGTTAGTTTATATGGCTTTTTTCTTGGATTTGTTTTGTTTTTTTATCAGCCGCAACACCATGTAATGCCTGGATGTTAGACTCTTTTACAAGAACATGTTGCTAGCCTAACCACCGGGCTCCGGGTCTCTGAACTCTAACCCTGGCTGCCAAATGTGCCTCTGAGCCTCTTGTGCCTTTTTACTACCAGACTAAGTTTGTAGTCTCACCTACTAATATTATTTTAATATAGCACAATATTCAGCTAGGTTACTACTTTGACTTTTATAATTTAAGCACATTTCTGAGCCCATACATTATCAAACTTTCTACTCGAGTGTTTCTGACAGCTATACCTCTACTTAAGTCAAAATCATGATGCTTTTGTGTAGGTATTTATTACTGGGGCTATATTTGCAAATGGTGGTCTACTGGAGTGCAAAATGTTGAAAAGCGTTACTAATATTGTGTTTAATTAATTGGAAGGTAAGGGCATTTTTCAATTTTCATTTCATGTTTTTGACTCAAAGTGACAAATACGTTTTTGAAATTAGTTCTGTGAGACTAATATTGCCTGGCTATAGCTAAGGAGGTAGAGTGGGTCATCTACTAATTGGAATCGATCCCTAGCTGCTCCTATCTGCATGCCAAATATTCTTGGGCAAGTTACAAATCCCAAGCTGCTCTATGGTGCATTCATTCAGAGAATGAATACTAGATAGAAAGTGCTTGTATGAATGGGTGAATAAGACAAGTTGTGTAAAGCCCTTTGAGTGGTCAGAGTAAAAAAGTGTTATATAAGAACCAGTTCATTTGACCCGTTGTCAGTGGTGACAAAGGCTCCTATTTATTCATTATTGGTAACTATTAGCCATTAAAGTCCACCCACTAAAAGTTCTTGTTTTTGTTGCTGACAGGCTGCTATTATAAATGTCTCACAAAACTAACTCTGACTCTACATCATGTTTCTCCTCATTGCTTCTCTACTGCCCTTCTTTTTGTTCCTTGCTAGATATTTTCATTTGTTGTTGTGAATTAAAAGTTCATTTGAACTAAACCAGAGTTGATGATTAAACAGTGTAAAGGCAAGCCAAGACTTTTTTTTAAAATTTTGTTTCTGTCAAGCTTACATGAAAAGTCTTTTGTGATGCTAAAATTAATGTCTCTGTAAATGGAACCATGCTTTGAACAAAGAAATATAAGCTGCTCCTTCTGATCAAACAAAAGGATATTATTCTTTCAACATCTTTTTAAAAGTCTTCATAGTTTTGTGAAACACTATGAAGAGGTTTATCTCTGTGCATGCCCATAATAAAATACAATGAATAAAATAATTAAATAATAAAAAAATATATATATATAAAAAAACAAAACACACAACACCCAGCACGCCCCTGCGGGCGGTTTATCCTTCAAGCTCGGGTCCTCTACCAGAGGC